CCTATTCCGTCTTGTTAAAATTACCCACTTTCACTTATGAAACGATTTTCATTTATTTTGGAGTTTCTGTTTTAGCCTATTAGTTATTCTGTATATAATTATGAGAATTCGTGAGTTGCACAAGCAACTATACCACATTAATACACGAAGATTAAATTAACGGGATAAGTGATAAAGGAGTCCAAATAATATTAATATTACTCATATTGAGGAATGGACCTGACCATCCTGATGGGAGACCTAACGCTGAAGTCAGAATGGACAACAACGATTAAGAAGATATTATTGGGCGACATCAACTGAGAGAGAAATAAAAACTGGGGAGAGATTTGCCAATATATGTGCATTCAACAGATTGGTTACAGGAGCCAAAATATTTCCACATAAATGCACACACAAAGCTACATGGATCTAACCGGACCACTCCACAGAGAACCAGATAGATAATGTTTGTATCAACGAAAAATTCAGAAGGTCAGTGGAAGATGTGAGAATCCGGAGAGGAGCTGACGTAGCCTCAGACCACCATCTGGTTGTGGCCAAGATGAGACTGAAGCTAAAGAAACACTGGACAACTGGGGAAACAGCACTACAAAGGTTCAATACAGCCTTCCTTCGAGATACTGACAAGCTCAACGAATTCAAGATAACTCTCAACAACAGGTTCCAAGCTGTACAGGATCTACTGAAAGAAGAAACTACTTTGGAGGACAACTGGAAAGGAATAAAAGAAGAACTAACTTCAACGTGTCAGGAGGTTCTGGGTCGCAAGAAGCAACATCATAAGGAATGGATCTTCATGGGAACCCTGGACAAGATTGAGGAAGGAAAGAGCAAGAAAACGGCAATTATCAACAGTCGAACACGAGCAGAGAAATTCAAGTCACAAGCAGAGTACGCAGAATCAAACAAGCAAGTGAAGAAGAGCATTAGAGCCGACAAGCATAAATACATGGGAGAACTAGCAACGACAGTGGAAAAAGCTGCAAGAGAAGGGGATATGAAACACCTGCATGACAGAACCAAGAAACTAGCAGGGAAATATAGTAAACCACAGAGAGCGGTCAAGGACAAAGAAGGCAAGCCGATCACTGAGATTCACTAACAGAGGGATAGATGGGCAGAATACTTCGAGGAACTCTACAATAGGCTAGCTCCATTTAGTCCACTGGATATCGAAGTATTACACAGACCTTCTTATAGCTATCACTCCACAAACCATCGGAGAAATCAAGATGGCCATCAGACAAGTCAGGAATGGGAAAGCAGCAGGACCTGACAATATACCAGCTGAAGCACTGAAGTGAGACACTGAAGTAACTTAAAACATGCTTCACTTGCTATTCAAGAGGATTTGGGAACAAGAACAAGTGTCACCAACAAACTGCAAAGAAGAACACCACGTCAAGATATAAAAGAAAGGAGATCAAAGCAAATGTGAGAATTACAGAGGCACCACACAACTACCAATATCAATAAAACCTTTCAACAGTGTTGTTACAACAAATGGAAGATCCAGTAGACACCCAGCTTCAAAATCGACAGGTCGGATTCCGTAAGGATCAGTCGTGCACAAACCAAATCACGACAATTCAGATAATTGTTGAACAATCAGTTGAGTTGAACTCGTCACTATACAACAATTTCCATGATTATGAGAATTCGTTTGACAGTGTGGATAAGAGAACATAATGGAACCTTCTTCGATACTATGGAGTTCCTGAGAAAATCGTCAACATCATACGGAATTCATACGACGGACCACAGTGCAAGGTCATGCATGGAGGACAGATGACAGATGCATTCCAAGTGACGACCGGTGTCAGACAATGCTGTCTACTCTCCCCTCTCCTCTTTCTTCTGGTTATTGACAGGATTATGAAGACCTCGACATCTGAGGGCAAGCATGGAATACAATGGACAGCTCAGACTCAGTTAGACGGTTTGGAATTCACAGATGATCTGGCACTCCTATCTCATGCACATGAACAAATGCAGCTGACGACAACTAGTGTAGCAATAGCCTCTGCATTAATAGGTCACAACATACACAAAAGAAAAAGCGAAATCCCCAAATACAACACGGCGAATACTAACCTAATCACACTTGATGGGGAAACTCTGGAAGATGTGGAAACATTCACGTACCTGGGAAGCATCATCAATGAACAAGGAGGATCGGATGCAAACGTAAAGGCTAGAATAGGCAAAGCAGAGACCTCATTCTTATAATTGAAGAGCATGTGGAACTCAAAACAACTGTCAAGTAATTTCAAAGTGATAATCTTCAATACGAACGTCAAGACAATCCTACTTTACGGAGCGGAAATGTGGAGAACTACTACATCCATCTTCAAAACGGTACTAGCATTTATAAATAGTTGTCTACGCAAAATACTCAATATTCACTGGCCGGATACCATCAGCAACAGCGTTTTATGGGCGAGGACAAACCAATTTCAACCTGAAGAAAATATTGGGAAAGGATGCTTGATGTGTATAGGACATGCATTACTGAAATCACCGAACTGCATCAGCAGGCAATCCTTAACCTGGAATCTCGAAGGTAAACGGAAAAGAGGGAGACCAAAGGACTCATAGCGTTAGGAATTGAAGGTAGGTATGAAAAGAATGGATAGTGATTGGTAAGAACGTGTAAGGATTTTCCAGGACAGAGTTTGATGGAGAATGCTGGTGAGTGACCTATGCTGTTTAACGAGATGTAACAGGCGTAATTAAGTAAGTGAATCAGTATAATGAGGAATACTAAATTTTAGGGACATTCTTCAAAAATAAGTAATGAAGATAATGTATATATGAAGAATTAATGAAATTCAAAGTCTAGGTGGAGATAAAGAGTGAATATATCTGGACGATAGTGATAATCTGAAGCCTTATCATCCAACATCTGCAGTCATTGATTTGCGTTATCATACGAACCCCAACCAAACAATCTAAATGTGTCAACACGACTAAGTAAACTGACCAATAATTTCATGGATTGATATCACTTTGAGAAGGAATTTGTAGGTAAATAATGCTGAAAAAGTCAGTAATATGCAGTAATCAAGTGACCTTTCATTCTTTTGGAGACATCCAAGGCTAAAACTTAGTATGAAAAATCAATGTGGGGTTGAAATTTATTGATAAAGTTAAAAGTTTATAAAATATTTTTCCAGTGAAGCAGAAAGTTGAAAATATTCTCCTGAATACAATGACGATTGCTAATTCGAAACCGAATCGTCGGACCATAATTACACTAGACTTAATGTTTTTGTGACTGAGAATTGGGGAAACAATGAATGTATACAACCCTCTAACACGACATGCGATGTTTTCTGGCGTGACAGTAGGCCGAAAAAAAACTGCAAACCCAAGGCACGGTACTAGTCAATTGTTATAACGTATAGATTTCTGAGCCCTTATAATATATATGTATATGTCCAACGATACAGAAAATACGTACGAGCAGTCTTGGGTGCTATTCGGTCCTTCCTATCTACCTAGCCCAGTCCGTTAAGTCCAAAACACAAATAACAGCCTCAGCAATATGAATCATTATTTACAAGCATACTGGCCTATATATACTAACCAAACAGACCACATATATCAAAAATAGAAAAAAATAACATTTGTACAGTAATTGGCCAATGTGGCTGTAGCTAGGGGGAAAGTAATCAATAATAATAGTTCCAAGGTCAAAATAAAGGTTATGATAAGAGGAACACGGAAACGATTAGGTCACTTATTTAACAACTATCCATTAGGGAATGGGCATATTGTATTTGTCCATAAATGGACCTCAGATTTATGATTCATAATTCGCCAGGGGATACAACATCAATAAAGCCAATAGCTGTTGTTACGAGTCATGTTGACAGATGCAGACTACGTAGTTGGAGTCCATACGACAACTTCAATCAGTGACCAGGTACTTTGAGTGACATTTCTCAAAATCATTCACGATGGCGTAGACGTTTCTGCTGTTAGCCTTTCTTTTGATCTTGAATTACAGTATTTCTTCGAAATTCATTCTCCTAATTTTGTCGCTTCCTCTTAATATGGTTTGGAAACTTGGCTAATGCACATTTGTGCGAGGCTCTGCGTTAATGAAGTTTGACTTATTGACTAACAGATATTAAATCTAGGTTACTTAAACAAGCGTAGGCTTTTTTGCTTTGTCTACAGTATGCTGAACAAATGTATAGTGAAAATAGGTCACTTTTGAGAAACAAGTTGTTTAAATCATTCTATTTTGTTTAGTTACATATTCGGCAATGGTTTCGGACTACAAATATTAGAAGTATGAATTCATACTAAAACCGCATAGCATTTTTTTTCATTTGAAATATTACGAACTGGTTTATCATTTTATCTACTAAAAAACAACAAACAGTTGTTTTTACTTTAAATGGTTATACCGGAAGTTTGTTATGTAATTACTTAAGAAAAAAGTCAATGAAATATTAATTTTAAAAACAGCAAATCACTTTAAACCAGCTTAACAGACTGACAGTAAAGATGGATTGCATAGATTTAGTAGAGATCTTAGTAATGAGGCAGTCTAAAATGTTCATTATATGACAGTGTTTTAGCCCTAAATCAGTCATTGAACCAACCTCGCAGTTATTAGTCGTAATTTTACTGGCACTTAAGGCGCATTAGGCCACAGTAACTTGAAGTGATGGGTAATTGGAATTTTCGTCCGGTTTAAGAACCTACATACTTTTATTTCTTACTATTTTGGCAATCCAAAAATTCAAGAAACAGGTTTTACACTAGACACTTAATAATATTAACACAACCGTCATTTTACAAGGGTATCTCTCGAACGTTTACCACAGTCCCACCAGGTGAACACACTAAAAAGTGTACTTAAGTTTAAATGCACACAAGTAGCGCTATACAGTTAAATAAAAAATCCAAGAAAAATATATAAAAAGCCTGTCCTTACTATCGCTCTTTTCATTCAAACTGGAAAACACTTAGATATTTGCAGGCCTAGAGATATTATAAAGTAATGATGTACAACAAAAATTATAGGCATGATAAAGAATTTAATTTAGCGACTCAAGTACATAAAGTCTTGAATAAAAATAAATGTCACCCTAAATGGAAAGTATTAAACGATGTTTCGCCGGCTATTGTTTGATTCAACTAGGAACACATGTCTCCTAAAACCGAGAGACTATCCAAATTCATTCGACGCTTTTATTATTGTTAATTTAACTAGTTATGCTAATACAAAATCACATTTATTCATGAATTTTTGCAAAAAATAACTGATTGGTTTTTTCGGTTTCAAACCATACCATCTTTAACCGACAAAATGTATTGATACAAAACATTGCGTATTTTGTGATATGTCAAAATAAAAAAAAACTATCAGATTATGCTCGTAAACATTTATTAAGTTTTTTAATAGATGCTGATTTAAGCTGCTCTTTACTCTGACTCATAAAGTTATTTGTCATATGAGTGAATAAATACTTAGCACACTCTATCATCAAAAGTTTATGGAAAATCATCAACAACAAAACTAAACCCTACGAAATAAATAATAAAGTTCAGAAAGCTGTCCTATTGTGTTGCAAGTTCTTAATCTTTTGAGCCAAAGCCTTTGTCTGAAGTCGGTAGTTTGCAGTAATACGTTTTGTTTCTTCCAGAGACTGTCTTTTGTTTACTACAGAGTCAAATGAATCTTCGTAGTTCAGTAATAAGGCATTTTTTCCCAAAAGTCCGCATGATCGGCGAAGTTTGGCATTCTCAGTTTTAAGAAGTTCTCTAGCCTTTTTAATTTTCGTTAGGTGGTCTTTGTTTAGTGACAAATCCATATCAATACTATCAAGTATTTTCTTTTGACAGGCATTACTGTCAAGAACAGCTTGAAGTTTTTCTCTAATGTGAGTTATTATTTGAACTGTGTCCGAAATTTTCTGTTTTAATTTACTCAGCTCTTCATTCCTTTCCTCGATTTTTTGATTAAATGTTTGATTCTCGATTTTTAACTGCTCAAAATCAATTAGATGCAAGCCTTCTGATAGTTCATCTTTTGACTTTAGTAGCGCTTCAGCCTTTGAGAGTTGGTTTTTTAGCTTTATGTTTTCTAACCTAACTTCTCTGACCATAGCTTCCTTATTTTTTTCGGTTGTAAATATAGAAGAAAGTTCTTTAGAGTTTATTGGTTTCCCGGTTCGGGTATTTATCGCCTTCTTTCCCACGTTATATTTAAATTCCATAAAATCCTGATATGCCTTATCAACTTCTTCTTGTTTCTTTTGGCACAAGGTTTTCATCTCGTTAATCTGCTCAGTATAAGAAGATTGCATTACTTTACACTGGTGACGAAGGTCAAAGAGACTTGAGATATATTTGATATATTTCTGCTCATAATCTATAGTAGAATCACTCACAGTACCGCTAATGCTTAACCGTGTACTCTGTTGATCAGATGTTTCAACTTTTTTACGTCTAAAGTATTCAGCTAACTTTGTTTGGAGCTGAAGGTTCAAATCTTTGACGGCTTTCTGTTCGTTTAAGGATTGTCTGTACTTTTCCACCAACTCCTCGCGCCTCCTGAACTCTTCTGCTACTTCTGCCTGACTTCTGGTACATTCGTTATTATCAGTCGTATGAGATTCTGAAAACGAAGGACCAAGTTCATTAGATTCCTCAGGTTTAGAAACATGATGTATCTCCTCATGACTTTCTTGTAGTTCAATAGTGTTCTGTTTGTCTTCAAGGATTTCCGTAAAATGTGGTCCAGTTTCTTGTTCAGTTATATGACCATCACTGTCTAGTCTTAACTGATCTAGATTCTCATTCACAGGAGAATTTAGTAACTCTTCATGTCTGGTGTCCATTTCCTTGGTTTCAGAAATGCTATTATTAGCAGTTAAATCATTATCAAAATAATCCGGAACTTTGATGGCTCCAATGTCCAAAAGACTGTTTCTCTCAACATCGGAATTTTGAGGATCGATAGAAATATTTTTAATTACAGAGCTTATGTCACTCCGTTCACTTTCTATCTCGTGCTCAGCAGCGACACAATTGTTGTCCTTTTTTGATACAAATACTTAATAATCAAACTTTGAAAATATATTTGTTAATACCTTAGTCTCATCATTTTGAGAGTTCATTTTTAATTCACCGGCATATATCGTTCGACTGCAACTGTAGCAACGACCTTGATAACACCAGTATCTCTGTTACGAGCTGATATAAACCGATGGGTTTTTTATGCTTGCTTTTTGTTGGTTTGGTACGGTTATATGCATATGATGATGTCCAGTCGAAGGTGGTCTAGTCATTCGATTCCAGTTTGTTTGGTAGTTATTTATGGATTTTATAGTTTGAATAAGTGCGCTTGTTTCAGGGTAGTAGAGTTTCTGAGCACCATGAGCTGAAATTTTACCAGACGTGAGGTCAGTTGATCGCAGTGTGAAATCAACAAAGAGATAGTTCGAGTGCCAAGAGTGGACGATTATTTCAAAAATAAATAAATCAGCTAACTGTTGGTAATGTGTTATAAGACGCAATTGAAATAATTAGGGCGGAAAAAATGACAGAAAACAAAATAGGGAGTAGTTGCTGGTATTCACTAATAATAGGCGTGATGAAGTGCTAGAGGTGCATCAGGCACAGGTGATTCGGGAGGGATATGGTAATCCATGAGTGAAGGTGTGTATATCAAGTCTCCTCTTGAAGCTATCCACTGAGAGGGCTGTGGTCACTCCGTCCGGAAGCATCACGATATGAGGAAAAGTGAGAGCACACCTTGGTGGTTGCTCTTTGATGCGCAATCTTTCGAATGTTGCCTTGAGGAGCATGGTGAAGAAGTTCTAATAATATTTTCATGTTGGAGTAGCTTGAGATACTTACTACGTTGCATGTCATTATCGGGTCACCTCTTGTTCTTTAGTGGCTCATCGAAAATATTCTCGCGTGTTGGGTTCTGTCCTCGTCTGGTTTATACTTTAGCTTATCAACTACTTGGCTGCTCATTTCTGTATGTGGTCTATAAGATTTATTTCACTAATCAAGAGAGGAGGCGCACCACTGTTGTATATTTCAAGGTCTGGTCGTATGTATGTTTCGAAGAGAGTTAGAAACAATTCTGAAGCAATTGATTCAATTTGTCCTCGCGCTAGATGAAGAGCTTACCTTGGCTGGATCCTCAAGTAGTTTCAGTTAGTGTATGAACTCTCTCTGGTTTCTAGACCGAGATCACACTCCGAGGAGACAATTGGGAGCGGATTTGAATTCAGAATGTATATTATGTGTGTAAAATGAACCAGGTTTTCATGACACAAAATTTATACATGTTAAGTTTTAACCCACTGTCTACTGTCCATTCCTCTATTGTTGCAAGGTTCTTTCGAAGCTTAAGTGAGTTCTTTCCGTTTTATCGGAACACTGAATCTGTACGTCGTTTTCATAGATGGGAGTAAATGGTTCAAATAGTTGTGGATGGAATAGAAGAAGCTTTCGCTTAACGAGCTTCCTTGTCTAGTAACAGTGGATCACCAATACCTCGATAGATCTTTCCGGAAATTGTTTTAAAATATTTTCCAAAGGGGCATCGCGTCCACGCTACACACCAGATCCAATCCCGGCTAAACTGTGTTAGGATTTTGGTCGTGCTAAGTATTTATGCAATTCAAAGTTTTAAGTTTATAGTTGTTGCAAATTAAACTCGTAGAGCGCTTGGTGTGAAATATGACGTCCAGTTTGTTCCAGATGTCAAAAGTTCTACAGCGTTGCCCTCAGATCAAGATTCTGAAAAAAAAAGAAACTGAGGGGCAGCAAGGTATTTGGATATGAACGATAAACAATGCTTAACATTTAGTAGTGGAACAGACAGTGGTATGATGAATTATTAGATTAAATTCATACTAGCTCTTGTTACTAGAGTGAAATGTGATCAGAGGCTCCAGATGAGAGAATGCAGTAATAAAGAGCAATGAGTTGTAGTATTTATCAAGGAGTAAGTTCAAATGGAGGAAGTAAAGTCAAGGTTTGAATAAGGAGGACTATTTTTTAGAACAGAGAGTGCGTCAAGAGAGTAAAGTATTAAGAAAACTAATAACCTTATCCTTTATTGTCTGCTTTTTCTTTTCTTTTTTTTCTTCGTCCGATGCCTGCCACACAGTTCTAATGTAAAAGTCTTAGTAGAATAGTTAATCCAGCATAAAATTAGAAACATAAGTCTAAATAGAGAGCGTAGGTGAACCAAGTGGACGGAAAAGTACAGAAATATATTAGTTACAAATAAGGTAACGAGTGGCGAAATAACATTAATGGCAAGGCAACGTAGTGTACAGGAGAGTAAAAAGATGGTAAAGAAGGAAGTAACTCATATTAACTTCGTGCTGATGTTATTTTGTTCTATCCTAACCAGCTGATGGGTAACAGTTTCCATAGATGATAAACCACTAGTAGTAGGCAACCGATTGTGTGGTTCTTTTGACTTTTTAGGGTATTAGTGAGCGTCTCTTGGCGACCGAGTATTGATAAGTCCGGTGAGTTCTGTTATCATCAATTTAAAAAAAATCAGGGAGGGGAAAGTATCTAATGTAACTGCAAATTAGGGAAATAAGGCAATTCAGTCTATATATGTAGAGAGCCTACGATGTCTGTGTCGGACGCGGATGTGTTCGTTTGAGCTAGATCTGTTCAGGTGAGGGCTTGATCAATAAGTCTTACAAACATATGTAATTTATCTGCCATGCGTATTTCAGAGGCACGACTGTTCCATATTAATGCATAATTGATGGGGAAAAAGTTTTCCAGAGTTTTTGATCTGTATTTCTCAACTTTCATCGTGGATACTTTGTCTCGAAGGTTGTATTCATATGAGTCATGGGAGAGAACTATGTTACATGTAGAATAAGTAAGGTTTTTGAGGAGTTCGAAACAGAGAATCAAATTGGACCTAAGCCTTCTTTTCCAAAGGAGTTGTGGTTCTAAGATGTGGCGTCGAGAACTGTAGTCAATGAGTGAGTCCTTCTTAAGTATTTTGCGAGTGAAATCTCGTTGCATTCCTTCCACCTTAAGTATATCGTATAGGCGTAGGTTGGAAAATAGGACCGAGCAGTATTCGACGACACGCCTTGCACGAACTTTATAAAGACTGATTTTAGATTGATGTTGAAAGAAATTACTAAGAATGAAACCAAGCAATTTCCGCATTTCAGATGCTTTAGTTGAGATATATTATGAGAAGTTAAGACTGTCAGCGTAATGTACCTCTAGGTGTTAGTCTGGGCGGTGGGTTTTTGTTAAGTGTTAGTTTTATTTTAACAGACGTGTCTCCAATACATAGCCAACCGCATTTCTCTGTGTTAAGCTCTAACCTACAGTGTTTGCACCAGTTATCTTCTGTGTTCAGCTGTTGGAATGTTTGCATAGTACTACGTACATCGCAAACATCAGTTCTATAAACGAATTTTAAATCATCAGCGTAGAGGTAGTTCTTATCTGTGCCAAAGGAATTGCATATATGGTTGATGTAGATTATAAAGAGCAATGGACCCAAGACGTACACTGCACAAAACCACTGGTTATTGGTGAAGGTGTAAATGTTTTAGAGTTAATCTTGGTTATTTGATATAAGTTTGTGAGGAAAGACTTGATACATTGCAGTAGGGGGTTTATAATTCCAACTGACTGAAGTCTGTTCATTAGAACGTTATGAGGTATATATATATATATATATATATATATATATATATATAGTATAAGCACTACTGTCTTCTGTTCACGTATGCACGTAACCTTGTTTAAGAAATCTATCAATCATGTACTGCAGGACCTTGTTCTAACGAAGCCGTGTTGCGACGAGTCTATGAGATTTTCCTTGAGTAAGTGATCAGATAGTTGATGTTGTATCACTTTTTCCATTATGCGTGATATAACTGGAGTGATATTTATAGGTCTGTAGTTTACGACCAGGTTTCTCGGTACTGATTTTTGTTTGTGAAGAACATACTTCGCCTTCCAGGTTTCGGGATGTGTACTGGCCTCTAAGATAATATGTAAACTTTGAGTAATAGCGTCTGTGTTTCTGGTCCTGACATTTTATAGAGGATTGATGGGTTGTCATCGGCACCAGAACTCGCATTCCGCTTAAGGGTTTTGATGGTGGTGTGTATACTCCTAATATCGAAGTTCACGGTGCTTTGATAATTTTTGCTGATGCACTTTATGTTAATGTCTGGGGTATGAGATGTATTCCAGTTGTGGAAAAACCGTTCACGTAATAGTTCTCATATGACGGTTTGGTCATAATACGTCACTCCATAGTTCAGTGAAGAGTGAATGTTGTGATCTGCGTTCTTCCTCATGCATTTTGCAAGGAGCCGAGATACGTTTGGGGCTTTAGATGCAGCAATGAGCACAGTACGTTCTTCTGCCTGTTTATACTTGTTGTGTTGACTTTGCACTCCTTCAAGTACAGATATATCTGGTGCAGGGCACTGAAGTCTTTTGATTTATAGTACCTCCTTCTTAGTTTTCGCAACTTAGACTTAGTCTCTTGGTTGACATAATGAGTAATTATTTCAAAAGCAATTTCAGAGGGAATAGTATTGTATAGTGCAGATTTGGTGGCGGTACTGAATATTTATAATTTTTCTAAGAGGTTATCACTGGTAAAGAAACTGCCACAGTCAGAGTGCTTTATTAGAAATCAAAAGTCTTCCCAGTCAGCGTTTGCGTAGTCTCTATATTGGAAACGAGTATTTAATATCTTTAATTTGTTTCACTTAGCAAGAATCGGGAGGGTACAGAGGACTATTTTATGATCGCTGTTGTTAGACTTTTCGCCAACCGCCATTGATAGTGGTGTGACATTGTAACAGAATACCAGTTCCAGAATGATGTAATTTCGTGTAGACAGGTCTATATGTTGCTGCCAACCGCGTATGTCTAAGGACCTAAGTATGCCTTCATAGCACAATGGGCCAGAATGTATCTTCCAGTCGATGGTTGTAAGGTTGAAATCACCACAAGCAATTTTGTAGGGAAAGTCAAGCGATGCAGCCTTAGCAGATGACTCACTTATAGTGGTGTCAGTTGAACTGGGAGTGTTAGCAGCTCCATATACACATCCCATTAGTATTTTACACTCATGGGTGTATACAGTAAGCCATATAGAATCAGGTAGTTTGCTGAGGATATAGTTGCTGTAGATTTCCGCCCTCATATTTTTGATGCATATACGAGACAACCGCCACCCTTCTTGGTGCTCGATCACAGCGGAGAAACTCATAGGTGTCTATTTGGAGATATGAGTCTGTGATATCGGAAGACAACCAAGTTTCCGTTATCAAAACAAGTGAAGGGTGCGTATGTGAGTCATCTTATTTTGTACAG